AGGAATCGGTAGGTAATGATGACGTTTCTATTGTTTGCGCCCGCAAGTACAAAATGGTTAGGATGACGTAAAGACAGATCATCCCCAAGGGACCACTTAGGTAGATTTTGTGACATTTATAGTGCAGTCATACTTCAACACTTTTTTGCGTTATGTGTTATCAGTGACATTCTGTGGAGCAGTTGTTTCAGTGAAAGTTATGGACCAAAATTTTAACGACACTCGTTAAGCCCAGAAGAAGTTATCAGGTGCATATAACTGTGTATATATAAACACTTGGAGAGTTTGCCAGACACAAGTTCACAAATCGATCATTGGAAACCTTTGCCAGACACTCTTTCTCTGTCTTTGACTGGAATAAGCAAGATGAGTGAAAAACAACTGGTAGCTTCTCACTAGCATATCGATGGACGATTACAGAAATTTGCCGGCAACCAAATTCTGTGCTGACTTATTCCCTGCTCACGGATGTCCTTCTGCTATAAAACTTTAAAATAAGACTATGCGTGAGTGTGAATTGATCAAACCCCCTTTCAATTTCTAAGGCTTCCTTTCCAGCAAATAAAATGAACTGAATGTAAAAAGTGAAAGAGAAATAGCAAAAAATTCAACTTCTTATTAACTCTTTTCTTATGGTTTAGAATAAACTATTCTCGAAACTGAGAATGTTTTGATCAAAGCTGTGTAAATCAACCTGAAACTGTGCATGGAACCTTGCATTCCCTGTATTTATCTCACCTATTGTGTGGAATATGTGTGAAAATCTTCCTTATGAATTGGTATATTTCAAAGGGCTACACAACGAGCAAGAATACTATTGACCGGCAATATACCGAGCGGGGGCAGCTGTAGTGTCAACTATTACTAGTGATATATAGAGAGAAACAGTGATTCAGTCCAGTGTTCTCATGAAGTGTTCTCTTTTTAAGGAGTCTTTTCTTCTTTGTTCTTGTTTTCAAATTTAGTTTTTATGTTTTAACTACATTACGACAGCCGTTATCTTTCTCTCAAGGAAAATGTTCATAAAAGTTGTGAAAACAGGTCGATTTCCTTTTGTACGCATCAACGGATGTAGCAAAAAACGTATATATATGTGGTCGGTCAGAAGCTCGGGGGTGGGGAATTGTCTCTTTCTGCATGCCTGGGAGTGGGGAATAGACCTCCAGGAAAGAAAAATATTGCAAATCCCCGGGGGTGTACCAGGGGGGGGGATGGCTACAGGTAAAATTGCTGCATGCATAATACGAGATTTAGTTTTGTTTGTGACACAAGCCAGCAGGAGACAATGCCAAGGAGGGAAAGGGCTCCATGATGCCACACCATAAGTGTAATCAAGCTTAAATAAACGTCATCATCGCGTACATAATTGTTGATGAGACAATTGTCGTCAGCTGATGTCAACTTTTCACAGTAAACTGATTGATTTGGTTATTATTTAAGCTTAGATCTTACCTGATTCAACAATCCTCGATTTCGTAAACTTTCCAACAGATATCCAGTGACATTATCCATTCTACGAATAATGCTTTTAATCTCTGGTGAATTGGGGCCAAATTTATGCCCACTGTGATCTGGCTCGTTAAAATAAGCGGCCAAAAAGCTTGGAGGATCATCCTGCTCTAACATTGTACATAAATAATCTATTCGTTTCTCGAAGGAAAGTGACCGATTATAGGGTAAATAGTGTGTAGGGTACTGGCCTTCTATTTTCACTTCTGAACCAGGCCAAAACACAACAGCACTTTTCTTAAAAGCTTTTTGATTCGTGATCCACACCGGTTCTCCGTTCCACCATTTTGAATCCAAGTAATGCTTTGACACCGCATCTAAGTAGAAAGTGTCGTTGAAAACAGGATCGAAAAACGTATTTCCGACGATCCCGTGGCTTTCCTCATAAAGTCCTGTAACTAATGTGAAATGATTCGGGAATGTCTTGGTAACAAAGGTATTGAGAAGGTGTTTCGCTTTGATGCCATTACTTGCGATAAAATTCAAATTCGGAGTAGGAACTTTCTCCATGTAGTCCCACCGGAAACCATCGTACGAGACCAAAATTACAGTGGGTTGTGTCAGAACGATTCTCTTATTAATCGAGGCGAAGGCGTTACGATTAGGAAGAAATGAGAATAACATCAACATGTGCAATAGTTCTAGCCTCATAATGAAAAATTTTCGGAACGGCACGGACAACGCTGTTCGTAGTTCGTGTTCTCATTTCCAAGTCGTCCCCAGGATTCACTTTTGTAGCACGTCTAGGGAGCGCGCGTGCGCGACCGAGGGGTTTTTAGGGAACTGGGGGGCTAGGGAACTTACATTCTCAGAGCCCAGGCTCAGAGCTGCGTCGTTTCTTGGTCACGTGGTCCGAGTGACAATCTACATAGTTTCCATCGTGGATCTGGATCACACTTTTAATTGCTTCATAACACTCCCTGTCTCTGTGTGAGTCCAAAAGGTTTGTGGATTAGGGTTTGCTATGGAACGCCAACACTGTCACATGTCTTCCGATGAGTATTATATGCATTCGGGACACCATTATATCTAGCACTCATACCTTTATGAGCGGTCCATCAATGAATATATTGACATATTTTCCTTATATACGGAGTCCATTAACCGTCTACTGTGATATACGCAGTGTATTTTTCATTATATCGCGTGCTTTTGTCGATATGTACAGTGCACGTTTTACTATGTGTTGTCAAAACTTCGTTAAATGTGGTTCATTTTCTTACCGTTTGGCATTAAGTTCACTACGGTTGACTGCTTGTGGACCTTAACGCAGCATTGACCACCAGCAGCAATGTTATGAGCAGTACAAAAAGTTTGATGAGCAAACTTTCTGATGATATACCCACAATTCATCGCAGGAATGTTAGTTTCCAAGCTCCCTCGTTTCCTTTGATCCCGCGCCATTTTTGAATCTGTCTCAAATACGTGAGTTTTTTTTCATAATGGCCGTTTGCATGATGTCATCTGTGTTAAAGAAAGTGAATCTGGGATATCTAGAAGAGAAATTTCAGCAGGAAAAAATAACACCCGATCTTGTTTGTAAACTCTCAGTACAAGAGCTAGAAAGTCTAGGGTTAACCTCTCGAAGAGACATGATGGCTCTCAGAATCGAGTGTGCAACGTTTGGAGGAGAAGCACCAAGGAAAGTCAAAGCAACTTGTGGAGCACCATCATTCTCCATTCCTAAGTGTGTTCTTGAGAATCTATTAGGGGAAGGATTCACTATCAAAGAAATTTCTACTATTTTGTCTGTTTCTGAAAGTACTATTTACCGCAGGATGAGTCTCTTTGGACTAAGCAGGTCAGATTTCACAGACATTTCAGATTTGGAACTAGATCAGCATATTGAAAACATTACTGAGGATTTTCCATACTGCGGAGAAAGTTTAATCAAGCAATTCCTGATCGAGAAAGGGATTATAGTGCAAAGGATGCGTATTAGAGATAGTTTGCACCGAGTGAACGGAGATGGAGTAAAGGCTAGGAAAAAAGGGCGCCTGCATAGACGCGTCTACGATGTACAGGGACCTAATCACCTTTGGCATATAGACACGAATCACAAGTTGGTGCGGTGGTACTTTGTAGTTTTTGGTGCGATTGATGGATTTAGTCGTCTGCCAGTAGCACTAGAATGCAGAAACAATAACAAGGCTGAGACTGTGCTTGAATGTTTTTTGAAAGGTGTGGAAAACTACGGCCTCCCAAGCAGCGTGAGGTCAGATAAAGGAGGGGAAAACGTGTTAGTAGCTGATTACATGTTAACGAGAAGGGGTATAAATAGGGGCAGCATGATCACTGGCAAAAGCACACACAACCAGAGAATCGAAAGACTGTGGAGGGATGTTTATGAGGGGGTTCTAAGCATGTATTATCAATTGTTTTACTTTCTTGAAGACGAAGGGATGCTAGACCCATTTAACACCCTTCATATTGCTGCACTCCACTATGTATACCTACCGAAGATTAATGAAAACTAGAGTTGTGGAGAAATGCATGGTCCAGACATCGCATGAGAACCGTAAAATCTTCTCCGATTCGCCTTTGGGTTTCTGGCCAGCTACAAAATCCGGTGGGCATTGAGCTGTCAAGTGCTGAGCTCCAATCTTATGGTGCTGAGGAGTGTTGGACGAAGAGAGAGTTGAGGATAGACGCCCAATATTTGAGGTCCCAGGTGCTTTGAGTGAGCAATGTTTTGAGATTTTACGTAACCAAGTCCCTTCAAATTGGACATCTTCAAATTATGGGATAGATGTATATTTAACGGTGCTGGACATTATTGAGAATTTAGATGCAAATGGCAGATGATTTGCGAGTACAAAGCACATAAGAGGACCAAAATGTAGCCTTAGCCATTTCATGCTAAAAAGCTGGGGAGGAGACTGTGCTAGGGTTAGCGGGTAAGGAAAATCATAAAAATGACACAGGTTTGCATTACTAGCAAAAAGTGCTTGGCAAACGCCTGAAGTAACTATCATTACCCCTATTCAATTTTTATGTGACCGTGCATGTAAAAACAGATTATATGACAACCATTGCCTTATCAGGTACTTCATCAGATTCATTGAGTAGTGCCAAGTTAGTTTAGGGTGGGGGTGTGTGTGTGTGTGTTATTGGAATACCTGTCTATCATTGTAAATCATAAAATGCACTTTAAGTTTCTCGGTTGAAGACAATTGTATATAGATAGTTCTCAGTTTTTATCAGCGTTTCGCGTTACGGTTGAAATTACTCTTCCTATGTAAGCTATGGACATTGTTAAGAACGTTATTTACCCCAACGTATATGATACCGTCCCACCATGTGGGTGACAAAATAAATCAAAATTTGTTTACCGTAGTCAAGAAAGTTGCCTTTATTAAAACTTAAACGTTTAACCGTAAATGCCAAACCTTAGTCGTGCAGGTAAATAATAAAACTCTAATAGAATAGTGTTGCAAGGAACTATATTTATGTTATGAAATGGTAATGTAATTTCTATTTCGATCTACACAAGAACAATAACATCACAAACAAATCAGTCAGTCCATATTATCGATCTTGTTTTGTTCCCCCTCATTTCAACCAATCTTTAAATAAATGCAAATGCTTTCCACGGCTTCTCAAAACCTTTCTTACAAAGAACACAATTAAGGAAAATGGTAAAGAGCACATCACACAAAATGGTTGAGGGTTTGACATGTAAGAAACCACTGGTTTTAGCTTCCAGTAAAGTTATAATGTCCTATTTTTTTATTGAAATTTTATTTTCCTTTGTTAAAAGCCATTATGCCTAACAGCAAAGGAAATGAAATTCACAACAAAGATAATAATGTCCGATGGACAACTGAGCATAAAAAATATGTATGGCTTTCATTAACCCAACGTGCTACTTCATGACGTAAAATTGCCTCTGTATGCCATTATATCATTATTTTCATTTACATGTTACCAAAATATGAGTTTAGAAATGCATAATCAAAAACTTTGAAAAGAGCATACTCAGATGGTAGGGGTTTACTTATTGTGGGCCTCACAAGCTTAAGGGAATTAATGCATGTGTTGGCTGTAGGAACAAAACCATTTTCTGCATCAACAAAAACAATGGAGGGGTGAATGGAAAACCCAAGAACCGGTTCTTCTTCTGCACCAGTTGCGAACTGGAGAATGTGTGAAAGGGTAACATTCCCTCTTTGTCCAGCTGTCAAGAGAATAGAAATGGGTCAAACTTTAGCAATCCTAAACAACCACAACATAAATAGTAAAAGTAATAATAATAAGAAAAAAAACCGTTTTGAACAGTTTGTTCAACAGTTCGAATGGGTAAAGCCACATGTGCAACATAATTTGCCTACTTTGCATTCCATTTTTTTTTGCTTAGCATCATTTTCTTTGCAGAGACCACTATGGGAATACATGTATCATGATATTCAATAAACAGAGTGGAATGTTAATTCCAACAAGGCAATCTGTTCCTGATTAATGATTTCAACCCATTCCCAAATGTACTTATAACTTTTGTCTGTGAAGTTACAAGCTACCTGCAGCCCTACGCAAATACTTCACAAATTGTCTGTACACTGCATCCTCAAACTGCCTTCTGTTAGACCCCTCCACACTAAACTCGGGTTGAAGAAGATGAGTCACCTTTTTCAAAGTCAAGACACTGGTGGGGTTGGGGCGTAAAAGATGAAGAAAGATGGGAAACTCATTCGCAATCTGTAAGAGAAAAAGATCGCATGAATGGTCCTGTTGTACCTCTGTTGATAATGCTTTCATTCAAAGAGCAATAACATTATGATTGAAATATACCTGAACAATTCCTAGCTTGGAGAATCCATTCCTAAGTTGCTCTGCACACTGGTTGGGATTAGGACTGAAGAATATTTCTTGGAGATTCTCTTCACCAATAAATCTTGGCAAAACTCCATTTTGAAAAATGCTGAGTCCTGTACATAATAGGAAATACAATAAAATCATTGATGATCAATGCTAGCATCCAAGCAAATATATTTTTTCTTAGATACACTGTGCACATGATAGCACTCTTTTGATACCCAATATTACTATACATTTAAGAAGTTTGGGAGATGGGGGTGGCGCAAGGAACCACTTTGAACTCAGAATTGTGAAACAGAGGGAAAAAAAACCTCATACACAGCTTTAGAAACACTTCTTAGGCTTAAACAGAAGAGCCTAGCATAATGCATGTCACAGCAAAATAAGAAAGTTCTGTCTCTCAAATTAAGATTTCTATAAAGGTCATTCATTTTTCAGACTTGAATGAAACAACAACATACCTAATATGACTCCAACTAAGTAATATGCCTCTGCTTGGTGGTTCAGAAGGCCATCATCAAAATACTTTTCCTTTATTGCTTTTACGCATAGGGAAAAGAATTCTTTCCGTGGCCCTCCAAAATCTTCAGCAACCTGGGGAATTAAGGATACATGTATCTCAAAACGTTAAACAGAAAAATTATATAGCTTTTAATAAAATATTATTATAACTAGTGGCAAATCATTCTTATGACATCTACATAGATCAACAAAATCTTTCATATGATCTACACCAGCTGAGAACATACCTCCCCATAAAACTGTACTTCCAGAGTAAGGAACAGATTTTCCAGATCGGAAATTTCATCAAAGGCTGTTTCCAGCAAATGCAATCTGTCCACCAGTATGTACTTGGTAATGCCCACCTCACATCTCGATTCATCCAGCACGTCCAGAGTCCTCCCTCAAACAAGCTGGCTTTGGACATACCTCAGTATCTCCACAGGATTGTTTAAGATGTCTGTCAATTTAAGGATAAAGTATAATTATTTAAAAATTATTTGTATCCCCTATTTACAAATTTAATACAAATAGTTTTCCTACATATAAAGTCGCCTATGGAAAGGCGTATTTTTCACAATATTGTAATGAATGGGATGGTGACAAGGAGGTAAACAACCTTCCAGGAAGCTATTATGGTGAGAATAACCTCTCAGCTAAATACTAATCTTATTATTATTATTATTATTATTATTATTATTATTATTATTATTATTATATTATCAACATCATTATTCCAATTGTCAGTCTTATTTTACTGCTAGATCATCGAGGAAGGGTGAGGGGGGGAGGGGAGGTTTGAATGAGAGAGGCCAATAAAACCGGAGGTCAAACCCATAAGGTTTTTCTTTAAATTAATTCATATAAGCTAATTTGAGTACTCAGTTACAACTCTATTCTAAAGTATTATACAATTTCCTACAAAATATTTGATGTGGGATTGATACAAGGCCCCAGTAACTGTAAAACTCAGAAAATGATGGAAAGCCTAGAAAATATTTTATGCATGTTGGTTATGTATTGGCCAAGCAAACCACCACAAAGCTATCTTATGCACCTCTGCTGCTTCTGTTTAATTTTGTTTTTTCAATGCCTTATTGGCATTATTTTTCTTTTGCAATTAAAAGAGCATTTCAGAAATATTTCTGGTGTTCAAATTTTCTGAGTTTTGCAGTAAATTGATACTACATGGTCAAAATAATATAAATGAATCCAACCTGTAGAATAGATGTGCTCTTTTATCTTTGGCATTATCAGTGCAATGTCAACATCAAACTTCTCCATGGTGATGTGGTCATTATTGGTTAGAGGTCCCAAGCTAGTGCCTTCCAAGGGATGAGCTGTGGACTCTGTCTGACTGCCAATGAAGTGGGTTTCAGATATGGTAGAAATGCCTTGAGAGGAAGAGGGACCAGCTTCAGCTTGGTTGCCATTGCCAGATGAAGAAGGGAAGGTCAACATGGGGCTACTGTCACTGGACTCTGTCTAATTGCCAATGAAGTGGGTCTCAGATATGGTAGAAATGCCTTGAGAGGAAGAGGGACCAGCTTCAGCTTGGTTGCCATTGCCAGATGAAGAAGGGAAGGTCAGCATGGGGCTACTGTCACTCGACTCTGTCTGACTGCCAATGAAGTGGGTTTCGGATACGGTAGAAGTGCCTTGAGAGGAAGAGCAACCAGCTTCAGCTTGGTTGGCATTGCCACATGAAGAAGGGAAGGTCAGCATGGGGCTACTGTCACTGTCTGATGCCACCAGTGGCACACTGGGAGATGGATAGGCACTGCCACCTTGACCAATAGACTCCACCTCCTTTGTTGAAACTGTGGTACTTGACAGTGCATTAGCCATATAATCTTTCAAATCATTTCTTGACTCGTCAGATAACACCATGACCTCATCTTCAATGTTGTCATCAAACACATTACAGTTACAAGTCACTAAGTGCGATCGAAGCTCGTTTAGAGGGATCTCCTTAGAACACCACATACACTTCTCTTTCAACTTGCATGTCAGCCTGTTTTCTTGCCCTCCTTTCACACGCAGGCTCTTCTGAATAGGCCGGAGATAAATCTTTGTTTGAGGCGTGAAAAGAGACTTCAACCCTTCTACAGACCAGGACGATTTTATGACTGCCAAATCACGAGAATTTGTTACACAACTCATAATTTCAAAGCCCTTGCCTTCTTTTAGCTGAGGGAAGCCGATTGGATGGCCATCGTCGCCTGGCATATCACTAGTAAGCTTCTCCACCACTTCCTCCTCGTTTTCATCGACAAAAATTTGATCTTTTTTTGGCCAAAGGCCAGCCTGCTACAAGATCTGTTTTTCCGAGGAAGACGGCACTCTGCATGCTTGTCGATCTGCTAAACACACAAATTGACCTGTCCATGTGCGTCGGGATGGATTTTTCCTCTTAGCAGACTTTGAGGTTCCAGAACCTTTTTCACGGCGGCTGCTGTACGGCTGAAAAAGCCTCCTTCTTTCCTCGATCAACTGCTGAGCTTGAGAAGGGCCGACAGAGCTCGTGGAAGCCACATTTGTTCGCCTTTCTCCATCAGCGAACTGTTTGCAATTTTCTTTGAGGCGGACGCGGTCCCCTAAAGTCTCTACACCCAGACGCATCAGACTGCTGTCTGACATCGCCAGAATAACGTGTGGGTCGATTTTCTCATCTGCAAAGCGCTCGGAAAGCGTTGAAAGTCCAACTTTTTGAAGGATGGACTCCATTTTGTTCCAAAAATGGCGGGATCAAAGGAAACGAAGAAGCTTGGAAAACTAACATTCCTGCGATGAATTGTGGGTATATCATCAGAAAGTTTGCTCATCAAACTTTTTGTACTGCTCATAACATTGCTGCTGGAGGTCAATGCTGCGTTAAGGTCCACAAGCAGTCAACCGTAGTGAACTTAATGCCAAACGATAAGAAAATGAACCACATATAACGAAGTTTTGACAACACATAGTAAAACGTGCACTGTACATATCGACAAAAGCACGCGATATAATGAAAAACACACTGCGTATATCACAGTAGGCACGCAATATATTTGTTAATGGACTCCGTATATAAGGAAAATATGTCAGTATATTCATTGATGGACCGCTCATAAAGGTATGAGTACTAGATATAAACAGCAAGTGGTAACGTTTGCGCATGCGTCAAGCTTGCTGGGAAGCACTTGTTGACGGGAAATCGTAATGGCCGAAAGCCGTTCTGAAGCACTTTCAAGGGAGATTTTTTTGCATACCCAATCGACAACAGACATGTCTTATAGATTGGATACTTTGGCTAAGCTATGTTGAAGTGTCATGTATGGGAGAAGGACCATTTAGGTGGTTAATTTTCATTCATTTGGCTCCTCTGATGAAACAGATAAAGCGTTCACGAGGTCGTTTGTTGTGATATGTTGATTTGTTGACATTCAAGCGGTCACGGATTTCTGGGTTATCGTCCACGATCTGCAGAGCTGCCTAACATTTAGGTAAGATATACCCCTTGATTTACTTTGTGAAATGTGAAGCAGCATCATCGAATGTTATGTGTTAAAATTATAGTAGCCTGAATTCAACGTAATTTATGTGACCCTGGTATTTTTGTAGTATTTGACCCTGACCGTACAGCGAGATCCAGTTATATATCCCACACAAGCGACTAAACAGGTTAAACTTCTCTTTCGGTCACTCTGTATTTTCACTTTTAATGGTTAATTCAAAGGGGGGAAGTTTGAGTATTTTGATACTATTTAGCGGCATGAAATCAACAAGCAAATTTCCTACTCTTACAAGTAAGGCCATAGTCGAATGTTTCCTTCCATTTTCGAAAATTTGCTTTTCTGGTTTACATTGGTGCTCTATGGCGATTACTTATTCTCAGAGATTAAGAGATCGAGGCGGTGGATTGTGAAATATTATTTGCTAAAACTTCGTTAAAGATGGACAAATTTTTCTTGTCCTTTTCAACCTTGTTTTTAGATTTTTCGTTAACATGTAAAAGTATATCCCAACAAAACTTATTTGTAAGAGCATTGTTTCGGAACACTCTTTCATTCTTGAATGTTTGATTTTGCATCCAAGGGGGGGAACACTGATGAATTTGCGTTTTAATAATCATGCACTGTAAGCTCTCAGATTCACTGACAACAACCCTCACCATTTGGAAGATGATTTTATTCTGATAATTATTCAATGATGATTTGTTTATACATACAAAATTGGCGCCTAAAAGAATTGTAATGTTATGCTTAAAATGTTTACATAATGTCTTGAAACATAACTGAAATCAATATAAAATATGAAAATACACATATGTGCATTCTTTCCCCTGCCCTACTATAAAAGTGATTTAATAAGTGTGATTTAATGCATTTTCATATGACCATTACAATATTACTCCCACTTCGACACTAGCACAAGTTCAAGCGCAAAACAATTCTTGCCCTTGTTCAGCTTTGCACTTGCTGGACTGCCATTCCTGTTTGAAGTACAGACAACACTGGACATGAAATCCCTGTATTTGATTCCTTACATTGGCATCCACATAAGAATTAGCTTCATCACATACAATGTATTTGTATGCTTACAAAAATCATGAATGTTATTATTCCTTTTCTATCCAAAAGATTTCTTTCCTTCTTGAATATAAATTCATATCCATGACACTTTAGAAATCCTGAAATATCTAAAGGGGTATCGCTAGTTGTGGGCAACAACTAAATGCCATAGGGGTAACTTTTCACTCTCCGATAAAAATAGATCTTTTGATACTCATGGGTTTCATATATTCAGTGTTTGTGCACATGAATTTAGGAACACTTGGCTTGCCAATGTCAGTTTGGCTGTGTATACACTGTAGTAGTGTATATAGTCATATATCATAGGCTGCACAAGTTGCAATTTATGTAAAATTGCCCCTGAAACAAGCTCATTGATGCTCCTGGTGTCGCAAGATGACAAGTTATGAAAAATTTCATTTGCCTTTTTCCTGTTGCAGGAGCTCCCTATGAGATGCTCAGCACTAAACCTTGTTGATTCAGGTGATAGTCATTGAGGACGACTGCATCGTCACATTTAAACCAGTCCCACTTTTCACTCAAGCCATAGCAGAGGTGGTACAAAATGGTGGCTATCCGTTTTTTATTTTACCCTATGCTGTCTGCAGAATGTGAAGGGTCTGTCACTCCATCCTGAACTGCATCAAATAGCCTTGGTGCCCCAGAAGACACACAGACAAGCTTTAATTTTAAAGAGTCATACATTGGCTCACTTGAAGCTACCATAAACTCAGACTTTATAAATATCAGGCTTTAAGATGCTTAAGTTCTCCTCATGTTGAAATTGAATGAAAAGGAAAAGTTAGAGCTAATTTTCTCTCATTTTCAATTTTTTAATCTTAGCCCAGATATGGGCTAGTCAAGGGAGCTAGGCCTTATTAGTTATATCTTAAATAATTAACAAATGTGCAGTAGAAAATACCAAAAACAAAATTTATGAAAAGCAAAAATGAGTGCAAGCATGGAAGTATCAGAGGCAGAAAATTCACTTCAATGTCTCAGAGAGAAAAAGCAGTTTTAGATATGACTATGATCTTTACTATTTTAAGTATTTTCACTGTTGTGTGCATATTTGCAATTTTCTAGTATGTAGAAGTGTGGGGAGTAAAGGGAAGGATTTTTCATGGTTAGGGTTACCTCAATAAAACACATCTGTAATATGAAACATCTTATACCAGACTCCTGTTTTGGCTCATCTAATTCTTTATTATAGAAGTATAAGGGGCATCTTGGAGTCAAGAGCCTCCATATTACAAAATTCTGCCTACACCCCTGAATAAGTTAAGGCATCACATACATTTAATAGATGTCATTTATTGAGTTTGGGTCTTCAGTTTTATATCATCTAGTCAAAAAAGGAAACTTACAATTTCATAGCCCTTGGTGGGATATCTTTGAAATTTTATCAGTCGCAGAATTAGGGCACTGCACCTGCTTTGGCCACTGGTGGTTAGGATGGGGTATCTCTGAAAAGTAATCACTGGCAGAATCACGGCACTAAGGTTGCACATCTCTGAAAAACAGGGCGTTCCTGAACCATAACTGAAGTGAAATCGTATTATTGCAAGGGGATTGTCGCAAGAACTGCAGTTATGACTATATAAACAGACTAGCATTTAGACTTTTTTCACAGCGTTTTATTCAAATCGTAAGCGTCGGACGTTTTGTACTCGGTCACAACTTACATGAAGAGATTTTTTCCCAGTTATCCAGTGTTTAATAGAGGAGTTTTGCAGCTGTTACACAGAACCCCATCGACGTGTCCGCGCGCCACCCAAAACACGAAACAATAATCCCTCATGGACCACAAACCGCTCAAAATTGTGAATGATCTGCGACTTATTAGCCTTGAGACCAATCTTGCATATTACAAAGAAGACTTTGCCTTATCTGCACTCCACAAAGATAGAACAGATGACTAAGATGATGGTAATTTTTAAAAGAGGCGCTATTTTTCTTTGCTGCATTCGCTGCGATCCAATACCACCACAAACTTCCGTCCAGCGGCTCGCGCATGCTCGCAACGTTACCACTTGCTCAACCTCGTCCCCAGGGTCTTCTCGCTTTCCAATATGGCGGCGGCAGGAGAGAAGACCCTGGCACACAGCAGAAATCACGTGACTGATTTGTCCACGGAGAGTGGAAATTTATTCAAAATGGCGGCCAAGATAAAGAGTGAGAGGATCTGGGTACGAGGTCTTGAGACTGGTGAAAAACAAACAAAATGGCGGCAAAGGCAGAACTCAAAAGAAGCTAAAAATATGAAAGAATACACTTACAAGCCACAGGAATACGGTAGAATGATATAGCGATCTTATTTTCTGTTCAATGACCTTCATTTGTTTTAAGCCTGAAAGTTCTAGGGCACACGGCTGTCTACAACTTAATTTCTCGATACCGACCTTTTTTCACCGTTTTCTTTTTTTGCCGTACCCTGAGCGCCAGAGGTTCAGGTTTCTTCTTTCGTGAAAGGGGGAGCTTTTTCTAACCGTGAGCGCAATTTATTTCTTTATTTTAGGAATTTCGAGAACAGACCTCTGAAGCCAGGGAATTTTCTGTCATGACGCTCTAAGACCTCTTCCGCTCAGAAATTCAACTAAGCATTAAATTGAGTCGCAGACACTTTAAGCTGATAAGTTATCGTCAGTTTTGTTACAGAGCTTCATGAGGTTTTTGACTATTGTTTTTCTATCTGCACAAATTTTAACTGAACTCTGATATGTAAAAAAACAATTTTTTTTTCTGAAAACAAGAACCAGAGAACACTATTTTGTTAATATAATTTGGGGAAACTTTGGTTGAAAATTAAACAGTTCCTTGGTCAGTTTGGATATTTTGTCACTTGAACTGGTACAGGTAATAAAATTATTGTCAATCTTCATCTACTTCACAGTTTTTAGACTTTGTTATTGGCTTTTGATATCTAACCCCGTTCACAGTGCCTCCGGGCAATAGAGATAGGGGCCTTATTTAATCTAGCAAAGATGGTGGTATTAGTTCCACCCAAAAAAATGCCAAGTGAAAAAGCCCAAGTACAAGAAGGTTGGAGGTCAAGCAGCCGAGGATCAAAAACAAATCCGAACT